TGAGTCCCACGCAAAGTGAACAACTTTTCTCACAGGTCCTGGTTTCACCTTGCCCCCTGCATGCGTTTTTTCGACTGCACCTCCAGTTGCTGGGAAATGTCACCAACTTGTAAGCGGCAAAACAAAAGGAACTCAAAGAGAGAGCTCTAAAGTTACTCACTTCTGTGGAGATCTGTAAGGTGGGGGGCCCTCGAGACTGCATTCGTTGCCTGCTGAGAGAGTATTAAAATGTATTAAAATCTCGATGTATGGTGACCAGCTCTGCTCTTGTCGCTCGGGGCCCCTGGGACTGTGTCATGGTCAGCGAGGCCATTGACCTCAGCAGCCCTGCTGGGACTCCTGGCTCATGGCTTTTACCCATCACGATAACTTCATCTGTGTTGATCAACATCATCATCATCATCAAAGCACCTTGTTGATGCTGACACCAACACCCGAATTAGCCCCAGTGGGAAACTTCAAGTAAGGACGGTACAAAGCTCTGCGGATGACACCACAGGCATTCCTCTTCACTGTTCCGTGGAAGGCTCTGACTCACTTACTGAGGCTCGTTAAAGCAGGCATGAGGTCTAGCTGAATAAAACCAGGCCTGCAGCGTGAAATTTCTGGATCACTGGAGATGTTTGTGCCTTGAAAGCACAGCATCGTCAAGGCTGGAAGGGGCCTCGTCTTGTCCGTCCCCACCCTGCTCAAAGTAGGGTCAGGCAGGGCAGGTCGCACAGGGCCACGTCCAGTTTGGGGCGTCTCCAAGCATGAGGACTCCACAACCTCTCTGGGGCACAAATAAACCACCACCAGCAAGCTGAGCTGGGGCCTCCAGCCCTGCCCCAGGTCCTTGGGGCCTCCAGCCCAGGAGGCCCACTGAGGTGTAGGCAGAGGCCTCCAGGCCCTGCCTGAGCTCTGTCATGGTGTCCGCGGCTCCAGCTCTGTCTCAGCTGTGCCTGGCCACGGACCTCGCTGCTTCAGACCCCAGCCCGCAGGCTGCCTTCCCGGTCTGCACTTGGCCTCCCTGTGGCCCTGCCTGGCCATCGCTGGACTGCGTCTGACCCTGCTTGCCACCACTGGGCCTGCACGCCAGCTCGGCCTGGCCTGACTTCCTGGCTTGCCCTCAGAGCTGCGCCTCACTGGGCACAGGTTTGCCCCTCTGGGCTCTCGGCTGCCCACCCCGGGACCTGGCTGCTCCCCTCGCTCGCGTAGGCCGAGGCCAGCAGGGCGGGGCCCAGCCATGGGACCCCCTTTGGCTCCCGGTCCCTGAGGGAGCAGTGTGCCTGCGCTGCTCCCTGACACGGGTCTCTCACCACCCTCGCAAGAGAAAAGGTTTTTCCTTAGGTTGAGGTGGGATTCCCCCTGTTCCAGCTTGTGCCCACTTCACACCTTTTCACTCGGCAGGCTAGAAATCCATCAGATCCCCATGGGATCTGCAAAGCTTCCATGGCTACCAGAAGCTCACTGTCCTGGTTTCAGCTGGGATAGAGTTAATTTTTTCCTAGAAGCTGGTATAGTGCTGTGTTTTGGATTTAGTATCAGAGTAATGTTGATAACACACTGGTGCTTTAGTTGTTGCTAAGTAGTGCTTACACTGGTCAAGGACTTTTCAGCTTCCCATGCTCTGCCTGGTGCACAAGAAGCTGGGAGGGGGCACAGCCAGGACAGCTGACCCAGACTGGCCAAAGGGCTATGCCATACCGTATGCTCAGTATATAAACTGGGGGGGGTAGGCTGGGGGGCAGCGATCGCTGCTCAGGGATGGGCTGGGCATCGGTCAGCGGGTGGTGAGCAATTGCATCATGCATCACTTGCTTTCTATATTATTATTACTACTACTACTATTTTACTTTATTGAAATTATTAAACTGTTCCTATCTCAACTCATGAGTTTTCTCACTTTTACCCTTACAGTTCTCTCCCCCGTCCCACTGCAGGCAGGGAATGAGCGAGCGGCTGTGTGGTGCTTAGTTGCTGGCTAGGGTTAAACCACAACACTCTCCCATCACCTTCTGCCCAGACCACCAGGAGGATTGCTCTACAAAGGCAGGAAGAGATGATTAGCAGTAGCTCAGCACTAATCCCTCAGCTGAGCACAATCATGGCTCACGCCTCCCCAGAGGAAAAGGCCACAGATGGGTGCTCCCTCTCAGGGGTGTCTGCAGGACTGCTTTTCATTCAGAGCAGGGGCAGGGAGGGACAGGCTAAGTGCCTGCATAGGAAGAGAGCCTGAGTGAGCCTTCAAAAATAGGACTCTCCTCATCCAAACGTGCTAGGTCCGAAGCGCTCCAAGTGTGCAGCAAAACTAAGAAGACGTGTACTAGATAACACAGTTTATTAAAGACCAAACTGCAACAGAACCCTTGGAATTAGATGCAGGTTAGCTGCTGGGTGAGGTGGAAGGCAAAGGTTTGCAGGCTTCATTCATCTCCCTGTGAGCACTCTGTTTTCTGGCACTGGCACTTCCTCTGCTCCAGCATCTTCTCGTTGCTAACGGTGTTGGAGGTTCAGCTCTGACGGGGGAAGGGCGGGAGAAGAAAAGGCTGTGCGTGAGTTTTACAGCAGGCTGGGCCAAAGGCAGCACTGGAAAGTGGATCCTGGGAAGGGCAGCACTAACGCACAGATCCAGATACTGAAAAGCAAACTCTCAAACGGGTCGGCAACAACGTTACAGCCTGTGGGCTACAGACGCACGTGGAAAATTGCATTACGTGGAGATACAGCTCAACTTCTTGCAGTTTTTGCCTTATTTCTTGTCCAGCTCTTTCTCCCATCTCTCTTTTAGACTGCTCTGTTTGCCTGTGACCCACCGTGCTAGTCTCCCAGCGCCTTCTGGGGTCAAGCCCTGGTTCTGCCCCGGTTCTTCCTGAGTCCCACGCAAAGTGAACAACTTTTCTCACAGGTCCTGGTTTCACCTTGCCCCCTGCATGCGTTTTTTCGACTGCACCTCCAGTTGCTGGGAAATGTCACCAACTTGTAAGCGGCAAAACAAAAGGAACTCAAAGAGAGAGCTCTAAAGTTACTCACTTCTGTGGAGATCTGTAAGGTGGGGGGCCCTCGAGACTGCATTCGTTGCCTGCTGAGAGAGTATTAAAATGTATTAAAATCTCGATGTATGGTGACCAGCTCTGCTCTTGTCGCTCGGGGCCCCTGGGACTGTGTCATGGTCAGCGAGGCCATTGACCTCAGCAGCCCTGCTGGGACTCCTGGCTCATGGCTTTTACCCATCACGATAACTTCATCTGTGTTGATCAACATCATCATCATCATCATCATCATCATCATCATCATCATCATCATCATCATCATCATCATCATCATCATCATCATCATCATCATCATCATCATCATCATCATCATCATCATCATCATCATCATCATCATCATCATCATCATCCACTGCTACAATAGCAGCAGGAGTCTCAAGAGAAGTCAATCAGTTGCAAAATACAGCCAACAGATAATTAGCAACACGGAAGAGAAGCATAGGAAAAGAATCATCCAGGTTCCAGCAGAAACAAATAATCACCTCAAATCCACCAAACCAACCAGCGCTCACATTTCTTCTTAGTTTACCAACCTGGTTGGCCACCTCAGAACAGCTGTTCTTCATCTCTCCCTGGAAACTGAGCTGGGACTCTCTCTGCCCGCATATCAGCTTTGTCCGAGTTCCCTCCAGACGCATCTTCAACCTGCACAGCAAATGAGTAAGGAGAGCGTGAAGCAAAGCAACAGTCGGCCTTTTTCACATACTCCTACGTAAGCAGCACAGCCACGGCTTGCTTCATCTGTAACATGCTTGACAGGCCAGGAATTACTGAGAACAGCCAGCACTCCAGCATCACACATCACTTGGAGGGCCCAAAGTTCACCTGAACAGAGGAAGAAAAGGCTTCCTTCCCTCCCAGGAGAACTGCAGGCAGCCTGTATTTGCAAGGCCTTTTGCAGCTTTTTAAAACCATAGGTTCATGCACAGAAGCACCTTGCAAGATCGAATGCAAGGCTTGAATTTGCTCACAAACGGTTAGGTACATGCTTTTATATTAGAGTCCAGTGAAGCTTGACTTCTACTCAGCGTGATATTTCTTTAAAGCACTAAAAAGCCATGCCTGGTACGTTCTTCCTCCTGTGTGCCGTTTCTTCCCCGCATTTCGTCCAGACGTTCTTCTGATCGGCATTTCATCTCGGCCAGCTTCTTCGCTTCCTCGCTTTTGCTCCCACGCTTTCAAAATAGAAAAGATACATCGCGCACAGAGCACAGGAACAGGATCCATATGCAGAATGTGCACATGGTGTTCTCCACAAAGAAGACAACGGGGATCTCCCAAGTCCAGTCTCCTCTCGCAGCTCTCAGGCACAGATCTCTCTCCTGTCCACAGCACACAGCCTACCCATCAAAGGAACTGTGCTGAGGAACGCAAGTGCCCCCATATTGCTCACCAGGCACGTTCAAAACGCAGTAGCACCAGCAGGATGAGAGAATAGATAGACTTTTCCTCTGCAGGTGCCCTGCCCAAAAACCTGGGGGGTTCCCCAGAGCCCACCTGATCTTTTCATACGTCACCTGCCCACAAGAAATTCAAAGACTAAAACCAGTCATTCCCAGAAGCCGTTCATATACCTGCTGATGTTGGTGTTTGTTTGCAGTCCGTGTTTTCTGAAAGCCAGTGGCCAAGTCCTCCAGGCCATTTTGAGCCTACCGCAGCATTAAAAGAAGAAAAGAGGAGTCACGCTAGGACTTTCCCGACTGAAGGTCACGCCTCACGGCCTTTCTGCTTCTCTTGCCAGCATCAGTCCAGCACAGCGTTTGCCTGCCCTGCAACGCCCCCCAAGCACACAAAATACTGCCAAGGGAGGTGTCGTTCCCTTATTAGTTGCTGACTTTCATCTTTGGAGGTCTTCTTGTTGCATTACGGACCCACACCTTCTGGCCAAGGAATCCATAGTCACTAAAACAGGAGGGTGACCAGAGTACAGGCAACGGAAGAATTCCTGTCACAGTCTGATGATGATAGTCAAGCCTCCAGGATGAAGCGCTGGGCTCCACCTGAGCGCGAGGAAAGCCCGCAGCCAAAAGTACCAAATGCCTCTACTGCATGACTGTCTGAAGCACTGCCTGAGGTCTCAACCTCACGACTGGTCTAAAGCAGAAAATACGCAAGCCAGTGCCTTACTGTCAACTCCTTAACAAAGATGGCGTTAAGTGGGACTTGCTGTAGTCTCATGGGACAACTCTCAAAGCCAGAAAGCTGGGGAATGGGCCAGCAGGACTTTCAGAGAAGCCTATAGTCAGTAGAACAGAGGAACTGATCTCTCGTAGGCTCTCCAACAAAAACCTCATCTTAAAATTTCCCCACATGAATACGGAACTGGGCTCTGTAGCTCATGAAAAGGGAAGGCTCCGACTAGCTTACTGAGGCAGAGGCTTGCAGGTCTTTCTGAAGGGCTTCAATGGTCGTGGCTTGTTGCTGGACTGTGGCTTCCAGCCTGGCGTTTTCAACTTGGAGCCTGGAAAAGAAGTACAGGCCTTGTCACAGAAGTCCACAAGAGCACAAATCCCCACAGAAGAGTGTGAAAGAACCTCATCTAAAACAAAAGCATCTTTGAAAATCGTGTATTATTATCTCACTGGGATGCAAGAAGACAGTCCTGTTGTTTTCACACAATCGCACAAAGCAAAGCCTTGCTCCACTGTGGTACTTCCTTACCGTCGTATGCGTTCTTTCAGCTCTGCGACAGCCGTAGTTCTAGAATATGCGACCAGAAGGCCCTGCTGGTTCCTGGAAGTTGTTAGTTCCCTCTGCTTATCCTTTATGGCGTTCTTCAGGGACGTGACATAACACTCAGTCCGGATACGCCGTTCTTTCAATTCCTGCAGCTGTCAAACCACAACAAGAATCCCCAGCGGTCAGCTTAGGTTTGATAAAAAGGAGTGGACTGCTTTGACTCTCACGTCGACCCTCCAAAGCCATGTTACTTCTTCATCTTTTCTACGGGCCCCTCTCCTACGTCGACACTGATTTCCTACAGCATTTCCTAAATGCTGCCACAACACTCCTCCTCCTGCTCCTAAAGTGACTTTGCAACTCCCTAACAGTGATGACGTGATGAGGGAATACAAAAAAGCACCAGCGCAACACTCCAGCACGCCTACTCTTTCTCTGTCAGCACACACTCCGCTTTGCCAAACCCAAGAGAAGCAGCAAATACGTGTGTGCTCTGTGAAACTGGAGAAGCAGCAGCGTTTGCCTGCCCTGCAACGCCCCCCAAGCACACAAAATACTGCCAAGGGAGGTGTCGTTCCCTTATTAGTTGCTGACTTTCATCTTTGGAGGTCTTCTTGTTGCATTACGGACCCACACCTTCTGGCCAAGGAATCCATAGTCACTAAAACAGGAGGGTGACCAGAGTACAGGCAACGGAAGAATTCCTGTCACAGTCTGATGATGATAGTCAAGCCTCCAGGATGAAGCGCTGGGCTCCACCTGAGCGCGAGGAAAGCCCGCAGCCAAAAGTACCAAATGCCTCTACTGCATGACTGTCTGAAGCACTGCCTGAGGTCTCAACCTCACGACTGGTCTAAAGCAGAAAATACGCAAGCCAGTGCCTTACTGTCAACTCCTTAACAAAGATGGCGTTAAGTGGGACTTGCTGTAGTCTCATGGGACAACTCTCAAAGCCAGAAAGCTGGGGAATGGGCCAGCAGGACTTTCAGAGAAGCCTATAGTCAGTAGAACAGAGGAACTGATCTCTCGTAGGCTCTCCAACAAAAACCTCATCTTAAAATTTCCCCACATGAATACGGAACTGGGCTCTGTAGCTCATGAAAAGGGAAGGCTCCGACTAGCTTACTGAGGCAGAGGCTTGCAGGTCTTTCTGAAGGGCTTCAATGGTCGTGGCTTGTTGCTGGACTGTGGCTTCCAGCCTGGCGTTTTCAACTTGGAGCCTGGAAAAGAAGTACAGGCCTTGTCACAGAAGTCCACAAGAGCACAAATCCCCACAGAAGAGTGTGAAAGAACCTCATCTAAAACAAAAGCATCTTTGAAAATCGTGTATTATTATCTCACTGGGATGCAAGAAGACAGTCCTGTTGTTTTCACACAATCGCACAAAGCAAAGCCTTGCTCCACTGTGGTACTTCCTTACCGTCGTATGCGTTCTTTCAGCTCTGCGACAGCCGTAGTTCTAGAATATGCGACCAGAAGGCCCTGCTGGTTCCTGGAAGTTGTTAGTTCCCTCTGCTTATCCTTTATGGCGTTCTTCAGGGACGTGACATAACACTCAGTCCGGATACGCCGTTCTTTCAATTCCTGCAGCTGTCAAACCACAACAAGAATCCCCAGCGGTCAGCTTAGGTTTGATAAAAAGGAGTGGACTGCTTTGACTCTCACGTCGACCCTCCAAAGCCATGTTACTTCTTCATCTTTTCTACGGGCCCCTCTCCTACGTCGACACTGATTTCCTACAGCATTTCCTAAATGCTGCCACAACACTCCTCCTCCTGCTCCTAAAGTGACTTTGCAACTCCCTAACAGTGATGACGTGATGAGGGAATACAAAAAAGCACCAGCGCAACACTCCAGCATGCCTACTCTTTCTCTGTCAGCACACACTCCGCTTTGCCAAACCCAAGAGAAGCAGCAAATACGTGTGTGCTCTGTGAAACTGGAGAAGCAGCTTTTTGAAAGGAACACCCTTCTCCAGTTAAGGACAAAGTGACTTTCACGGTTAGTGGCCTTTGTAATGGTAGGCGCCAGGCTTATAAAACCAGGTGAGTCCCTTACACGTCACTCAATCTACTCCTGTTGCCAAGTTGTCTAGTATACTAAGACCACCTTAGCGTAGCCCTCCACTGTTACTTCAAGCGGTGCAAACCAGCAGGCACCAAAGACAGCAGTGCTGTTCCCTCCCAGCCCCCTCATCACAGCGAGCCGCACACTGAACCACCCTGGGTTCCACAAAACCCCCAAGAAAGGATCAGTTCCCCACTCTGGTTTGCTACAAAAAAGGCCCGGGCCCCTGCCAAGAGACAAGAGACGGGCTTTCTCCATACCTTCGCTTTAGACCTGTCCAGTTCCTTCTGCAACTGCAGTTTCTGTTCCTGCAGGTCCCTGCTGTAGCGCTTCTTGGCTTCAGGTGAAGCTTCTGCCAGGGCGTTCTTTTTGAGAGCGTCGGCAAGCTCCTGCTGCAGCTGCCTGACCCATCTCTAAAGAAACATGAGCACGTTCCATGAGCACAGAGAAATCAAGAAGAAGATGACAACATGAGAGATGCTTTTCCTCATGGGATTATAACATTAGATCCGTCTTCAGGGTGGCCAGCAGGCTGAGGGAGGTGATTCTCCCCTTCTGTTCTGCTCTCGTGAGACCCAACCTGGAGCACTGCATCCAGCCCCTGGGTCCCCAGCACCAGGAGGACACGGAGCTGTTAGAGCAGGTCCAGAGGAGGGCGAGAGAAATGATCAGAGGGCTGGAACACCTCTCCCATGAAGAAGGGCTGAGAGAGTTGGGGTTGTTCAGCCTGGGGAAGAGAAGGCTCTGGGGAGACCTTATGGCAGCCTTTCAATATAGAAAGATGGAGAGAGACTTTTTACCATGGCCTGTAGTGACAGGACAAGGGGCAACGGTTTTAAACTAAAAGAGGGTAGACTTAGATTGGACATGAGGAAGAAATGTTTTGCAACGAGGGTGGTGGGACACTGGAGCAGGTTGCCCAGAGAAGTTGTGGATGCCCCATCCCTGGAAGGGTTCAAAGTCAGGCTGGACGGGGCTTTGAGCAACCTGATCTAGTGGAAGATGTCCCTGCCCGCAGCAGGGGCTTGGACCAGATGATCTTTGAAGGTGCCTTCCAACCCAAACCATTCTATGCTTCTGTGACTAGTGAATTCAAAGATCAGAGATTTTGGCCGCCACCAGCAGGCATCTGCGGGCACCTTTCTCAGCTGAGCACATCTAAACTATCGGCAGCTCTTCATGAGGCTTTCTCTTTCCTCATACACAGAAAAGGCTTAAGTATTCTTCTCCTTGGAACACAGGCTGCGAGTCCGTGCATGCGCTTTTTTCCAGCCCACTGTTTTCCCTCCTTATGCAGACCTTCTGCTTCACAACGGGAACGAAATGCGGTTGGAAACTCAGTTCAGGTCCAAATACAACAACCACCTCTCAGCAGCATTCCAAAATGAACTCAGTTGCAAGAACAGCTCTCCGTACACCAACAGGCTCTATTTAAAGATATCTGCATCGGCCTCTATTAGAGTCACCTGTCTGTTGCCTTGACAATGTGCTTGAGTTAAAGCACCCTTCTTTAGCTGAAGCTCTTCCCGCTGCAGTGCAGAAACCTGAGAGAGCAAGAACACAGACAGAGAGACAGACAGTGGGGACAGGAAGCCCCAGCAGCACTGCAGATTCACATTGCATTTCAGCACTGGGGTTACAGAAGCGTGACTCCTGCATTACCTCCGGAGGAGAAAGTAACTCATTCTCAAATGAAGAGACATCATCTCCCGCTTGCTCTGCTGCTGGCAAGACACCTACGGAGGAGGAAAGAGGGGCGACGCTGCTGCGAGTGCTTATTTCACTCTGCTTTTCCCCATCCGCTTCACTCCACAGCAGCTTACAAAGGTAACCATTTAGCCCGTCAGGAAATTACCATTGCC